GCTCAGCCTTCTTTATAGTCCAACTCTCAAATCTGTACATGACTACATGTACATGACTACCAATCAGAACAGCCATCATTAAAAAGTATATACATAACAAATGCTGGAGGGGGTGTGGAGAAAAAGGAATCCTCCTACATTGTTGTTGGGAATGTAAATTGGTGCAGCTACTGTGGTCAATAGTATATGGAGGTTCCTCAAAAAAACAAAAAATAAAGCTGCTATATGATCTTGCAATCCTACTCCTGGGCATGTATCCAAAGATAAATATAATTCAAAAAGATACATGCACCCCAAAGTTGACCACAACACTATTTACAATAGCCAAGACATGGAAACAACCTAATGTCCATTGACAGATGAATGGATAAAGAGGAAGTGGCACATATGTATTAATACAATAGACTGCTACTCAGCCATAAAAAAGAATGAAATAATGCCATCTGCAGCAACATGAATGGACCTAAAGATCATCATACAAAGTGAAGGAAGTCAGAAAGAGAAAGACAAATACCATATGATATCACTTAAACGTTGGGTCTAAAATATGACACAAATGGACTTTTACCGATGAAACAGAAACAGACTCACAAAGAACATACTTGTGCTTGCCAAGGCAGGGGAGGTGGGGAAGGGACAGATTGGGACCTTTGAAGTATCGGATGCAGATGAAACCTTATGTATAGAATAGATAATCAAGAAGGTCCTAATCTATAGCCCAGGGAACTATATTCAATATCCTGTGATAAAAGAAAATGGAAAAGAATATGAAAAAAGAATGTATATATGTAAATATAAAACGGAGTCACTGTGCTGTACAGTAGAAATTACAATATTATAAATAAGCTATACTTCAATAAAGTAAATTAAGAACAGCAACAAACCAAATATTTGTTTTTTTCATGATAGAAGTCGCCATCTAACTCCAGTTGAGTGAAAGGATAGCAAATAGAAGTCTGCTGGTGGGTTTGTAGGTAAAGCTTTGAATTTAGTTTAAGCCACCATTATTTGTGTTTTCTGTTACTTACAAAGGAATGCATTCCTAGGTAATACATGTTGTAACACAGTATATTTCACATTACAAAGAAAAACAACCAAAAACATCTCTGATCAAAAGAAAGAAAAAAAAAAAAAAAGGAAGGAAAAAAAAACAAGCAAAAATTTCTGTTCTTATTAATAGTTGTGAAAAAAAAAATTCAGGTTGCAAATAACTGGAAAATAGAATGGCTCACAGACTTCTAAATTACAACTGAAGGCTTACTTTTACTTAGCTTTTTAGTTTTAATAACATGAAGATTGTAAAAAATTTTCTTGCTTAAAAGAGCAAAACAAATTTCAAAGCACTCCTACTAAAAAGATAAAAATAAAGTTAATAATTTTAAAATTTTAAAATTAAAATAATTATAATTTGAGCCTCATAGCCACCTGCTCAGGTAGGTAACACTATCATTCAAACTATAATTTCCATTTTATTGTTGAGAAAATAGATTTAGAAAAATGAAATTATTTTCTCAGAGTATACAAGTATTTATTGAGCTCTCACCATATTAGGCACTATGGGATATAACACTGAAAAAAATTGTTAATAATTCTTGACTTCATGGAGAGTGTATTTTAGTGGTAAAATCAGAACCCAAATCCAGGACATTTGACCCCAAGTGTAACGCTTTCTGTTGTTAGTTTTGTTTTAACCCTATTTATTTGTTTGAATGTCACATTTAGGCATCTACCATACTTTTAACTGTAAAATTAAAAGTAAAAAAGATACAGTTGCCTCAAGGGGCTTACAATATATGGAAAGCATTTATAACCTAGTGGGAAAAGAACATGATGTACATGGTATAGTGGGCTGAATGATGGTCTCTCAAAGTTAGGTCTATGTCCTAACCTGTGGAACCTCTGAATATAACCCTGTTTAGAAATAGTCTTTGGGGTTGTAATTAAGTGAAGAATATCAAGATGAGATCATCCTGGATTATCCAAGCAGGCCCTAAATCTGATGACATGTATCCTTATAAGAGACACATTAAGCAGAGGCACAGAGAAAGCCGTGTAAAGAAGGAGCTGGAGATAGAAATTATGTGGTCACAAAGCAAGGAATACCTGGAGCTACCAGAATTTAGACAAAGCAAGAACGAATTCTCCACTGAGAGATTCAAGGCAATCCCTACCAAAATGTTGGGCTTCCCAGTGGGTAAGGAATCCACCTTCAATGCAGGAGACACAGGACATGGGTTTGATCCCTGGAGGAGGGCATGGCAACCCACTCCAGTATTCTATTCTGGAGACTCCCATGGACAGAGGAGCCTGGTGGGCTACAGTCCATAGGGTTGCAAAGAATCAGACATGACTAAAGCGACTGAGCACGTACACCAAAATACCAATGAAATTTTTCATGGAATAAGAACAAATAATCCTGACATTTATGTGAAACCACAAAAGACCTTGAAATAGCCAAAGAGATCTTAAGGAAGAGCAAAGCTAGAGATATCAAGCTCCCAGATTTCAAACTACAGTAATCAAAACAACATATTACTGGAACAAAAAGAGACACATAAATCAATGGAACAGAACAGACAACCCAGAAGTAAACGCATGTTTATATGGTCAGTTAATCTATAACAAAGAAGGCAAAAACATACAGTGAGGCAAAGACAGTGGTGGTGGTTTAGTCGCTAAGTTGTTTCCAATTCTTGTGACTCCATGAAGTGTAGCCCACCAGGCTCATCTCTCCATGGGATCTCCCAGGCAAGAATACTGGAGTGGGTGGCCATTTCCTTCTCCAGGAAAAAAGATAGCCTCTTCAACAAAATGGTGCTAGGAAAACTGGACAGCTACATTTTTGCAAAAGAATGAAACTGGACCACCTTCTTACACTATTTACAAAAATCATTTCTGAAACCATAAAACTCCTAGAACAAAACATAAATGATATGTCTTTGACATCAATCTCAGCAATATTTTTTTTGGCTATGCCTTCTCAGGCAAGGGCAATAAAAGCAAAGATAAACAAATGGAACTACAAACTAGAAACATTTTGCACAGTAAAGGAAATCATGAATAAAACAAAAAGGCACCCTATTGAATGGGAGGAGATATCTGCAAATGATATATTTCATAAATAGTTAATATCCAAATTATATTAAGAACTCATACACCTCAATATTTAAAAAAACTGGTCAAAAAATCTACAGAGGATTGGAAAAGATATTTCTTCAATGAAGAGTTAAAATGGCCAACAGACACATGAAAAGATGCTGAACATCACTACTCATCAGGGAAATGCGAATTAATACCACAATAAGACACCTCACACCTATTAAAACAGTTATTATTAAAAAGACAACAAACGGGACTTCCCTGGTGGTCCAATGGTTAAGAGTCTGCCTTCCAATACAAGGGAAGTGGGTATGATCCCTGGCTGGGGAACTAAGATCCCACACACTGCAGGGAAACTAGGCCTGTGTGCTACCACTAATGACCCTGTGTGCTCTGGAGCCTGCACACCATGACTAGGGAAAAGTCTGGGCATGCCACAACTAAGACCTGACATAGCCACATAGATAACAAATAAGTTGTGGCAAGGGTGTGGAAAAAAGGGATCCCTTGTGCACTGTTCATGGGAATGTACATTGGTACAGCAACCAGGGAAAACAGCATGGAGATTCCTCAACATGTGAAAAAAAAAGAACTACTATATCATCCAGCAATTTCATTCTAGGTAATCACCTGAAGAAAATAAAAACATTAATGTGAAAAGTTCTGTGCAACCCTATGCTCACTGCAGCATTATTCACAGTTGCCAAGGAAGCAATGTAAGTGTCCACTGATAGGCAAACAGATAAAGAATATGTGGTCTGTGTGTATGTGCGTGTGTGTGTGCATGAGCGTACTTCATAGTTCAGTTGTGTCTGACTTTTTGCGACCCTCTGGACTGTAGCCCACCAGGCTATTCTGTCCAAGGGATTTCTTTTCATGCAAGAAATACTGGAGTGGGTTGCCATTTCCTTCTCCAGGGGATCTTCCTGACCCACGGATCAAACCCACATCTACTGTGTCTCCTGCACTGCAGGTAGATTCTTTACCCAATGAGCCATTGGATAAGTCTCGTGTGTGTGTGTGTGTGTGTGTGTGTGTGTGTGTGTATACACACAATGGAATATTATTCAGCCATAGAAAAGGATGACATCATGCCATTTGTCACAACATGGATGGACATACAGGGTATCATGCTAAGTGTAACAAGACAAAGACAATCTCTTTGATCTCACTTATATGTGGAATGTAATAAACCAAAAAAAACAAAACAGACAACTTATAGATACAAAGAACACACTGGTGGTTGCCCAAGGGGAGGGAGAAATAAGTGAAGCGAATTAAGAGGTTCAAACTTCCAGTTATAAAATAAACAAGTCACAGGGATGTAATACAGTGGTCCCCAATCTTTTTGGCACCATGGATGGATTGTGTGGAAAACAATTTTTCCACAGATCAGGAGTATGGGGGATAGTTTCAGGATGATTCAAGCATATTACATTTATTGTGCACTTTATTCCTAATTTAATGCTGCCACTGATCTGATAGAAGGTATTAGTTCATAGCCTAGAGGCTGGGGATCCCTGATGTAATATACAGCTTAAGGAACATATTCAATTACGCTGTAATAATTTTGCATGGTGAAAGATGGCTACTAGACTTATAGTGATTTATTCATCATGTAATTAAAAGTCAATCACTGTTTTCTACACTTGAAACTAACAAAATACTGTATGTCAATTCTACTTCAATTTAAAAAAGAATAAAAAGAAAAGGGGGGAAAAAAGATTCTTCCCCAGGGGCTTCAAAAGCACATTCCTACCAATACCTTGAATTGAGACTTCTAGCCTCAACAACTGTGAGAGAATAAATGTCTGTTGTTTTAAGCCATCAAGTTTGTGGTAATTTGTTACCAAAAATACATATGGAATGAAACTAATACATATGGTATAAAAAATTACTACCTTTGTGATTTTAACAGCTTTCCTCATCTGCTGCTGCTCCCAAATATCTTGATTTTTTTCATCTTGACTATCATCACTTGTTTCTTCATTTCTAGTTTCTAGGAAAAAAAAGTTGATGTGTAAATATTCCATATTTTTCCATTCTAATTAAAGTGAAGTGAAAAGTTGCACAGTCGTGTCTGACTCTTTGTGACCCCATGGACTGTAACCTGCCAGGCTCCTTTGTCCATGGAATTCTCCAAGCCAGAACACTGGAGTGGGTTCCTTTCTCCAGGGGATCTCCCAACCCAGGGATCAAACCCAAGTCCACTGCATTGCAGGCGGATTCCTTACTGTTTGAGCCATTTTAATAGCAGCAGCAATCAGCAATTCAGGAGCTTATAAATAGCTTAGCAGCACTTTTTATGTGTTAACCTTTTCTTCCCAATACCTAATTCTGGGAGGAAGACACTATTAGTATCCTCTCTTTACAAACAAAGAAACTTAGATAGCGAGGTTATATAACACAACCCTGTATCAAAGCACTGTGTTGAAACCAGGCCTTGATTTGAGCAATTTGACTTCAAAATCTGTACTTATCACCACACTGTCTCACTGAAAACATGGCAGTCTCACTTATGAAAAAGCCTGGGAAAAAATGAAACACTTGGTTTCATCAGAGATTCTCAATTATGCCTGAGAATCTATACATGTATCAAAAATAATTTCTGGGTTAACAGGAACCAAAATACTATTCAGAAATGGTATTATCTGAAGTGACAAAAATCTGGTAAAATTTTCCTTTTAATAAATGAGAAATGTGAAAATATTCTTTGAGACATAATGATTATTGGTTGAGGAAAACATTTTACTAGAGCAGGGAAGATTTTAATATATGACACCTGAAATCCCTATATATGCTTCCATGTTAAAAAATCTTATAAAGGTGACAATGGAAGTCTTCAATATCAAAAATATTTTATCAAAAACGCTACAATTTTTTTTAACCTGTCAAGAACGATCAAGTGGAGATCAGATAACAGTAAACATTACTGCACCCTTGATAACATTTTGATACAGACATGTAAAATATTTTAGAAGTCATGATGTCAGTGATATTGGTATAAGAAAAAAACAAAACTTAAAACATTTTAGAATAGCAGATACTACATTATGTTTTTATGGATATGCTTACCGTAATACATTCTAATGAAAAATGCCTTAATATTCATATACTACAAATAAATTAAATACGTACTTGTCTCTTCAGCCATTCTTTGTCTAAGTGTTTGAGGCTTCAGGGTAAATGGCGTTATATCTTTAAAATCATCAGGCTCACTTTCAGAATCTTCACTGTTTTTCTTCATACCAGATTTGGTGAAGGCATGTTTTACATCCAAAGAAATATAGTCCTCTTGGGCCCTGGCCAATTTGCATTTTCCGTAGGTTGCTTGAATAAAAGCTGCATCAGGGATATCTACTGAAAGAAACAAAGAGGAGGACATTGAAAACAAAATACCAAAAGAAAGAAATATTCCTCATAATTAAAGTAAAAAAGCACCATTTTTCCAATTTTTTCATTATTTTGATATAACTAAATGATTCAAAATCTGCATCAATAATGGAAGATATTTTGATAGAGGTTAAATATAACATAAAGAAATGAAGCAAATCTAGAAGCATCAGAAAATAAACTGACACAACTCCAATTAATCTTTTATCTTTCTTATTCATCAAATGTTGTTGCTGACTTTTTGTTGAGGGCTAGCTACTTCTCCTTTCCGGAAGCTCTGAGATTACCCGGGTATGGATGTGGAGAGGACTGAGCATGGAGTTACTCGTGGAGCATGGAGAACAGAATGACGGGTGGGAGAGCAGTCTGACATAAAGTACGAGGGACAGCCTACTGTGACCTGCTCCTAGACACTGGGCATCCAGGCACACAGGGAATGAGAAACAGACTAAAAGCCAGCACACATTCAGATCAGGCTCAAGGGCCTGCAGTAATTCTCACATAAACAAATATAAGTTAAAAAGTATAAAAGAAATAATCAGGTTATTTACCAAGATTAAAATATTCAAAGGACAACATCTTTTCATAGAGCCTTATTTTTTATTTTATTCAGTACAAACGTCATTGATATCTACTCTTTCAATTCAAAATAAGTTTCTTCATGTATGATCTAAGTTGAAATTTATCTTTACACTCAGGAACAAATGGTTTCTTAGGTAAACAAAAAGTAAAGGGAAATAATCATTTCTAGCACTTCAAAAATATTAACAGGAATATCAAGTCACTGAGTAAAATTTTCTAACTTCTCTCATAAATTAGTCCAAATTCTTTGAGAAATAAAAGGATGTCATAACTGGAGATATAGAAGTACTCTATTTTTTAATAAATTATTTTAATTGTAGGATAATTACTTTACAATATTGTGGTGGTTTTTGCCATATATCAACATGAATCAGCCATGGGTACACATGTGTCCCCCTATCCAGAACCCCCCTCCCACATCTCTCCCTACCCTATCGCTCTGGGTTGTCCCAGAGTGCTGGCTTTGGCTGCTCTGTTTCATGCACTGAACTTGCACTGGGCATTTATTTCACATAGGATAATATACATGTTTCCATACCATTCTCTCAAATCATCCCACCCTCGCCTTCTCCCACATAGTCCAAAAGTCTGTTCTTTACATCTGTGTCTTTTTTGCTGCCTTGAATGTAGGATTGTTAATACTGTCACTCCAAATCCCATATATATGTATTAATATACCGGATTTGTGTTTCTCCTTCTGAATTACTTCATTTTGTATAACAGGCTCTGGTTTCATCCACCTCATTAGAACTGACTCAAATGTGTTCATTTTTATAGCTGAGAAATATTTCATTGTGTATATGTACCACAACTTCCTTATCCATTCATCTGCCAATGGCCATCTAGGTTGCTTCCATGTCCTAGTTATTGTAAACAGTGCTGCAATGAACACTGGGGTACAATGGGTCTCTTTCAATTCTGGTTTCCTCAGTGTGTATGCCCAGCAATGGGGCTGCTAGGTTGTATGGGAGTTCTATTCCCAGGTTTTTAAGGAATCTTCACACTGTTCTCCATAGTGGCTGTATGAGTTTGCATTCCCACCAACAGTGTAAGACAATTCTTTTTTCTACACACCCTCTCCAGCATTTACTGTTTGTAGACTTTTTGATGACAGCCATTCTGACTGGCGTGAGATGACACCTCATTATGGTTTTGATTTGCATTTCTCTAACAATGAGTGATGTTGAACATCTTTTCATATGTTCACCAGCCATCTGTAGAGTCCTTGAACTACAAGGAGATCAAATAAGTCAATCCTAAAGGAAATCAGTGCTGAATATACATTGGAAGGACTGATGCTGAAGCTCCAATACTTTGGCCACCTGATGCAAAGAACTGACTCATTGAAAAAGACCTTGGGGCTAGGAAAGATTGAAGGCAGGAGGAGAAGGGGATGACAGAAGATGAGGTGGTTGGATGGCATCACCAACTCGATGGACATGAGTCTGAGTAAGTTCCAGGAGTTGGTGATGGACAGGGAAGCTTGGTGTGCTGCGGTCCATGGGGTCGCAAAGAGTTGGACATGACTGAGCAACTGAACTGAACTGATATCGTCTTTGGAGAAATGTCTGTTTAGTTCTTTTGCTCACTTTTTTGATTGGGTTGCTCGTTTTTCTTGTATTGAGCTGCATGAGCTGCTTGTGTATTTTGGAGATTAATTCTTTGTCAGTTGTTTCATTTGCTATTATTTTCTCCCATTCTGAAGGCTGTCTTTTCACCTTGCTTATAGTTTTTCATTGTGCAAAAGCTTTTAAGTTTAATTAGGTCCCATTTATTTTTGTTTATATTTCCATTACTCTGGGAGGTGGGTCATAGAGGATCTTGCTGTGATTTATGTCAGAGAGTGTTCTGCCTATGTTTTCCTCTAAGAGTTTTATAGTTTCTGGTCTTACATTTAGATCTTTAATCCATTTTAAGTTTATTTTTGTGTATGGTATTAGAAAGTGTTCTAGTTTCATTTTTTACAGGTGGTTGGCCAGTTTTCCCAGCACCACTTGTTAATAAAGAGCTTGTCTTTTCTTGATTGTATATATTTGCCTCCTTCATCAAAGATAAGGTGTCCATAAGTGCGTGGATTTATCTCTGGGCTTTCTACTGTTCCACTGATCTATATTTTTGTCTTTGTGCCAATACCATACTCTCTTGATGACTGTAGCTTTGTGGTATAGTCTGAAGTCAGGGAGGGTGATTGCTCCAATTCCATTCCTCTTTCTCAAGATTGCTTTGGCTATTTGAGATTTTTTGTGTTTTCATACAAATTGTGAAATTATTTGTTCTAGTTCTGTGAAAAATACCACTGCTAGTTTGATGGGGATTGCATTGAATCTATAGATTGCTTTGGGTAGTATACTCATTTTCACTATATTGATTCCTTCAATCCATGAACATGGTGTTTTTCCATCTGTTTGTATAATCTTTGATTTCTTTCATCAGTGTTTTATAGTTTTCTATATATAGGTCTTTTGTTTCTGTAGGTAAATTTATTCCTAAGTATTTTAGTCTTTTCAATGAAATGGTGAATGGGATTGTTTCTTCAATTTCTCTTCCTGATATTTCATTGTTGGTGTATCAGAATGCAAGGGATTTCTGCATATTAATTTTATATCCTGCAACTTTACTATATTCATTGATTAGTTCTAGTAATTTTCTGGTGGCATCTTTAGGGTTTTCTATGTAGAGGATCATGTCATCTGCAAACAGTGAGAGTTTCACTTCTTTTCCAATCTGGATTCCTTTTATTTCTTTTTCTTCTCTGAATGCTGTTACTAGGCCTTCCAAAACTATGTCAAATAGTAGTGGTGAGAGTGGGCACCATTGTCTTCTTCCTGATTTTAGAGGAAATACTTTCAATGTTTTGCCATTGAGGATAATGTTTGCTGTGGGTTTGTTGTATATGGCTTTTATTACATTGAGGTATGTATCTTCTATACCTTCCTTCTGGAGAGTTTTCATCATAAATGGAAACTGCATTTTGTCAAAGGCTTTTTCTCCATCTACTGACATAATCATATGGTTTTTATCTTTCAATTTGTTAATATGGTGTAACATATTGATTGATTTGTGAATATTGAAGAATCCTTGCATCCCTGGAATAAAACCCACCTGGTCATGATGAAAAACACTCTAATTTTTTAAACAAATAAGGAGAAACAGTTCTTAGAAATTACAGAATATACTTGACACCACAACTAAGAAAATCATGAAGTGATTGTTTAATTATGAAGCAGTAAGTGGTGAACACTAGAAACCAACATGCTCATTAAAAACAAGGAGAAGCAAATCAAGTGATTAACTTGACTAGAATTTTCTGTAAAATAGTATCAGGAAAATGACACAGGTGTCTTTTCAACTTCTCAAAACACTCAGGATAATGTTAGTATTTCCCGACCCTGGCTACACATTAGAACTACCTGGGAAGGTTGATAATCTGATAACTAGGCTCCTATCCAAAACATGGGATCTAAATTCAGTTGATTTGAGGCAAAGGTGAACAGCGGTATGTTTTATAGCTCCCTCAGTTCAGTCGCTCAGCTGTGTCAATTGTGTTCAGTCAGTCAGTTGTGTCTGACTCTTTGCAATCGGACTCTTTGCAACATGGACTGCAGCACATCAGGCTTCCCTGTCCATCACCAACTTCTGGAGCTTGCTCAAACTCATGTTCATCAAGTCAGTGATGCCATCCAAACATCTCATCCTCTGTTATCCCTTCTCCTTCTGCCTTCAAACTTTCCCAATCTTTATACTCCCTAGGGGAATTTAATGGAGAAGGTAATGGCACCCCACTCCAGTACTCTTGCCTGGAAAATCCCATGGATGGAGGAGCCTGGTAGGCTGCAGTCCATGGGGTCGCAAAGAGTCGGACATGACTGAGCAACTTCACTTTCACTTTTCACTTTTATGCATTGGAGAAGGAAATGGCAACCCACTCCAGTGTTCTTGCCTGGAGAATCCCAGGGATGGGGTCGCACAGAGTCAGACACGACTGAAGTGACTTAGCAGTAGCAGCAGTAGCAGGGGAATTTAATGTGCTACCAGGCTTCAGCAATAACTGAACCGTGAACTTCCAGATGTTCAAGCTGGTTTTAGAAAAGGCAGAGGAACCAGAGATCAAATTGCCAATATCCACTGGATCATCAAAAAAGCAAAGAGTTCCAGAAAAACATCTATTTCCTGCTTTATTGACTATGCCAAAGATTTTGACTGTGTGGATCACAATAAACTGTGGAAAATTCTGAAGGAGATAGGAATACCAGACCACCTAACCTGCCTCTTGAGAAATGTGTATGCAGGTCAGGAAGCAACAGTTAGAACTGGACATGGAACAACAGACTGGTTCCAAAGAGGAAAAGGAGTACGTCAAAGCTGTATGTTGTCACCCTGCTTAT